GGTTTCCACCTCTAACCATCACCCACCCCTGCACAGTTGGATAGCTGCCCCACACACATGACACAAATGCATTTTCGACATAGGTGATCACAGCGTGGTGGCGGGGACGGGCTACATGTTGGCTCAGATGCCTCTCTGTGCCCCTACACACTGCAGTTGCAGTTGCCAGACGTTAACCTGAGGGTCTCGATTCATTTTCCTCTAGTGAAGTGGGCTGCCTGGCAATAAGACCCTGTCAAGTCCCGCCACATCCTTCCCCTTATCGCCAGGGAAAGGAAGCCGGCTCCTTTCTGTGGCAAGCACCGGCGAAGGCAGCCTCACAGATCCCTCAGCCATTGTAAGGTCACATCCCTGCCCCGTTAACATCACAAAGGCTCCTTGGCTTCTGGCCTGCCCGTGCCAGAGGCAGTACCAGCCGAGGCAGAAGGGACAAGCAGCAGCAAATCAAACCTTGCAAAGACTTTAGCAGAGCTACAGCATGGGAAACTGCAATTCCAGAAAGGAGGTCAAAACAAGCAACCCAGAGAAACAAGAAAAGTATCCAGATCAAGATAATGAAAAGGGGAAAAAAAGATCTACGGTAACTCCCTTCCCTTCCAGCCTCTGCTCCGAACAGCCAACTTTCGCCACCAGCCTGCCTGGTCCTCTCACATGCACCTGCTGAGGGGTCCAGAAATGCTCATCTGGGTTTCATTAGCCCAGAGAAAAGGGGGGAAAAAATGCTAATAGTCTGTTACAAAGTATCAAGTTGTTCTAGCAAGTAAAGGCCTAAGATGTTCTTGGTGGATACAAAGCTTGAGCTTAAACTGCAGCAATCAAGGACTTGGGAGAGACACTGGGAAATCTCCAATGTAAGGAGAGGGAAGCACCACACTTGATTGCCTGGGGCTCTGTGGGGCCATCTTGGAGGATTTGGAGAACAGGTCACAAAACCTGTCAGGGGTGATCCAGGTGGAGTTTATCTGCCTCAGGCTAGAGCATCGCCTATGCTGTACGGTCTCTTCCAAGCCCATTTCCTATCATCCTGTGTCTGTCCCTATCCTCAGCCCGGTTCCACACTGTCCAACCCTCACAGGCAGGTACATGCCATCCTTATGTTACCGCGTGGCAGCTCTCCATCCAGCAGCAGTTTGTGCATTCCCCTGTGGCAGGTTGCCTGTTGCCGGGCGGACATGCGTGGACACGTGACGATCCTCTTCTAGCCAGCAGCTCTCTGTATGGGAATGCTGTCCCATCGGAGGGATTCAGTTACAGGGAAAAAAGGAGTCTTGGAGCTCTAATATTGTTCACCATGCCATACAATTCAAGTGATCAATTTAAAATTGTGTATTTTTAATTAATAATCCTCATACAATTACACCATGAGTACTCCAGCCTGGGGCTGTCTCTTCACTGGGTAAAAGGAAACAGGTGAGAAAGGGTCACATGAAACCTTTAAAAGAGTCTCCAAAGACCACCACCTACTTGGCAGAGTGGGAGATCCCTCCACCTGCAGTGTGACCCTATAGAGCACCCTTTTAATGAGTGTGGATTCCCACCAGTGACTTGTGTTGCAATGCAATTAAGCGCGGCTTGGGAACAGAAGAGGAGCTTTCCATAGCCTGAGCGAGCGGAAGCTGCAGGGTCAGGAACTGTCCTTTTTTTGATTCACAGGTCAAAGCGATGTTGTGGTCTCGTCTCAGGAACTGCTCTCCCAGGTCCAAGAGCCCTGCTCGGATTGTCATCCCTCCTGGAAGCAAAGTGAAGATCCTGCACAGGTCAGACCTGTGGTACACCGGAAGCGAACCATTCAGACCAGTGTCCTGTCTGTTGCCTTCAGTAGAGCGTGGAGCTGGCGATTTTGAAGTCCAGATGAGGAGGGTCTTATCTTCAGGTTATCTGGTGGGGCCAGAAAATATGGAGGAATGGTATTCCTGGGCTCCAAGAAAGTATGAAGCTCTGGTATACCATGCACCCT